CCTTACAAGGTATTCACCGTAATTGGTAGTTGGTGGGGGAGAAGCAGGAGAAATCCTTCATGTCTCAGTCTGAGACAAACCTGAACATCAAAATGAATTAGTCCAGTTTTTGTGTTTTATCAGCTGATGATAAGGTATGCCATACAATCTAATTCTGAAGGGAATTTTAGTACCCTCTATGAGCCAGAAACATGATACCTATTGAGCCTATAGTATATTTATCAGAGCTCTGGAGGTGATAGAAATGAAGAAGAGGGTAAGTACGTGAAAGAATGCTTCTTGTTTCAGAAGTGTGTGTGCTTCTATACAGTTGTTTTGTCACATGATTTCTTTGATGTAGCCTATCATGTTAGAAACATGAAGATATTTCCTCTGCTTCCCCATATGACAATATAAATATGCTGCATCTGGTGGAATATTTTGTTTCATTCTGATGCCTTGTTATACCTGTGACAGAAAACTACCAGTGAAATTGGGATGACTCCCTGGCACAGGGACCATGGATTCCAGATATCCATCAATTTCTGCTTTTGCATAGGTGTGTTTTCCTTTGCCTGCAAAGATTTGAGTTGCCATTTCCACCCAGTCTTATGATAGACAACGGATTTTTCTGTGTGTGTGTGTCACGTAGCAATTGATCACATTTTTTGTCTGTGGCATTTCCTTTTTTTTTTTTTTTCTTTTCCTAGAAAACTGTATTGTTGGAAACATTGTTAGCGCTGTTGGTAGCTCCATTTTTCTGTCATTAGAGCAATGACTTGGAATTCAGGCAGTGCCATGGACTTTCTGGTTACTGCGGGAAATCTGTTTCATAGCCTTTCCCTGCCTGCCATCCTGTAGCCTCTTCTGCTTCTTCTCTTGTCCATGTTGGGTATAAGCTCTTCGTGTTATAGGGCTGCCTTTGAGTAAATATTTGGACAAGGTATAGCATGATGAGATGTAGATTTTTATTTTTTTTTGGGGGGGGGCGGGAAGGATGGGGGAACTTGTAGGCAAGTAATCATGTAAACAAGAATTATATGAATCAGGATTTTACCATTTAACAATTTACTGGCAAGGCCCAGAGTGGGGCTGAAATGCAGTTTTCCTTATGCCATATGCATGCTGCAGAGTCACTGTGACAATTTGTTCAGGAGCTGGAGCTTTTCATTTCCAGAAAAGAAATATTGAGCTAAAATGAAGGCCAGTAAATGCTTAATTACTGATACTAAACCATCTTTCATATATATACTGTGAACGTGAAACATATTGGACAGAGCTGCTGTCTGGCACGTTTTCATAATATGTGAAACTGGTAAATCAGAAACAGATGGAAGTACTGAAGTGGGAGAAATGCCCTGTTCTCTAATTAACTTGATAACAATGCAGAAGAATAACAATATTTGGGTTTTGTGCAAGACCATTGGGTCAATATTCTCTCAGATAGAAGATGGACAGCTAGGATATAAAAATTATTATTCAGGATATATATTTATTTAAATTATAACATTATCTGCTTGCATTTATCAAGGAGAAGCTTATAAAACAGTTGTCCTTATGGTACCCTTCTCCATAATTAATTCTTGAACCATCAGACATTCTGCTCTAATGCATTGTACATATAATGTGCTTTTACATATCAGCACAATGCCAGGCATAGAGATGGAGGAAATTAGTCTTGAAAAATGCTGGTTTATTGAAAAAGAGTTCTTGAAAATATTATGAATTGAAGGTAAATGGGATTTGTACTTTCAGCTATTAAAAATGTGTCTGGAATGACAAAATGGTTAAAAGTCTCTTTGGACCAACTCATTCTTGATTTGGGAGAGATGGATTCAAAGGCTTGTATACCTGACAGGCCCACACCTCTGGACTATTCAGCTGTGTAAATATGTGTATACAAACTTCTGCTCTCCAATGTCTGTGTTTCTGCTTTATGTACGTGGTTAGATGTGTACCTGACCAGAAGCTGAAAGTCTGGTGGCTGATGCTTTGCAGGAGTGTCATAGTCCTTCAGCTAGAGCTGAACTGGGGACACATGCAACCCTGGGGCTAGATAGTGTTTACTCTTGGTTTCTGTGGCCACATCATCTTAAGATTCCTACCAGTAGACTAAGGTGTTATTTTCACCCTCTTTTGACTGAAAAGTATAGGTATGACCAACCCTAAAAGAAATGCAAACTAAGGAAGTGAAAATCCAGCATATGTCATATGGGCTAGTAGCTGAAATCCTTTTCTGGGATGTGAATTCAGGCTGCCACAGGCAGGAGAGAAGATGGACCTAGATCTCTTAAGTCCTGGGCAGAGTCTAAACGTCAATGAGTTACTGTCTAACAGCTTTTTGTTAGACTACTTTCTGATAGCTTTTTAAACTTATACATTCTGGTCTTTTGCCTTTCTTAAAAATGCCTCAAATACAATAATTTTGTTTGTTTGTTTTGTTTTAGATTTCATGGAAAACCTTCAAATGTTCTGTCCACCTTCTGTTTTGTTATTGTTGTTGATGTTTTGTTTGTTTGTTTGTTTTTGGTGTTTATTTGGCAAGATAAAGGAATTTTTTAATTCATTTTGATCCAAACCAAAATGCTTTATTTGTGTGTTTTCTTCTGGTTGCTGATCTAAAAATCCAAATATCCCAACTGTAGCAAATATGAGAGCATGGATTTAGTACCATTCCTGTTTCTAAGGATTTTCCTCTGGATGAGCTGCTGTTTAAGCACACACCAAAGATTTTGCTCTTAGTGCATGTCTGAAAAGATTCTGTGATGCATAAATCAAACGTTCTGAAAACTGGGAGAGCAGAGCAGTGAGCCTAGGCACTCCGTTTCAGACCTCTGAAGCCAAATGCAGCAGGCATTGCTCAGCCGCGGCTAGAAACCTGATATTCCCTACTAGCTACAGGAAGTGGGGCATATTGCACTTACAGAGGCCAAGCATATTTTGTCTGAGTCATGATCATGTTAAATGCATTTACTAAGTAAAAATGGAAAAAAAAAAAAAAAAGAGGGAAGAAAAAGGAAAAAAGAGATTCCATGTAATTACATGTTCAATTAATTTTAGAAGAGAGAGAGAAGGAAAAAAAAAACAAAAAAAAAAAAACTTCCAAAGCTCTGGGCAGAAGAGGAGGATGTTTGCTTTCTATGCTTTTTCTTCTTTCTCTCTGTTTCCCATCCCCCCAGAATAACTTACAAAACATCTTTCAAGTGAAGTCTGACCCTCCTATTTGGAACTGGTTTCATGACACTAGAGCAATTATGGTATTTCAAACATTTGCTAGCTGTAGTCTATGGAGCAATCACTGATAATCTCCAAGTAACTCTTTGGCATCATATGCTTGTAGCTGATGGATAAACCCCTACAACAGAAGACTCGGGAGACAGGCACAAGCAATGTGCTCATGAAGCTCAGTGAAGAATGTAGGGAGTAACCACAACTATTGCACATACAGCTGAATTTATATCAACACAAAGGGAACAGGAGGGTGGCCTTTTTGTTTCAGAGTAATGACTGTATCAGTGCAGTGGATCAACTGATCCACTGAATTTTCCCTGAGTTAATCAAAAGAGTGTGAATGTCTTCCGGAGTTAGCCAGACCAGTTACGAGTAAAGTGTGCACATGGCTCAGACCAGCACGGAGTATAAAAACTGAACAATCAACAAAATGAACTTCAAAAAGGGCAAGATGTTTGAACTGGCTTCATGCCATGCATTCCTTTCCTTGGGGATACTCAATGTCATTATGGTGAACATATAGAGACTGGAAATGAGAATCACATTTGTACATGTTGTACATTGCAACTGATATATTGTGCTCACACTGTGATCTCATCACATTATTGTATCCCTCTACTAAATCGAAATCCTGTGTAAAATCAAATATAATGAAATGTGTAAATGTGGTATTAAACATTAAACCCTCTTTGTGTGGAATAAATAAAGGAACCTGGTCAGAGGTCACTGGACTCTGAAACTGCTTCTGACAAGCTTACAAAAACTGAAAAGCCCATTCTCAAGAAAGCTACAGAGGTAGTCAGAAAAAAATGTTTGCAATGAGAAGTGTGCATCAAACCAACTCTGTATGAAGAAGCAATCCACTCTAGGAAAAGGTCTAAAATGATGATTGTTCCAACTCCTGCATCATCCTTTCTGAGAATGCACTGCTATTGCATCTTTGAGAGGAAACAAAATCTTCCTCAATGTTCAACTAGCTTCCTCCTTGAACTACAGCTGGAGGAAGGATGGGCTGGAGGACTGCAGGGGGATGGGAAGTCTTCTTCACCTAGTTGCTGTTGAGATGTCCATCCATGTGAGCACTGATAAATTTTGTTTGTGAAATTTTCATGGTTAACCTAATGAATGTAAATGACTACATATTTTTTAAATCTTGACGGTGTCTTTGCATCAGTAACTTTCTGAATCAATGACTTCTTCTTTACTCATGTCATATGATAGAATTTTGGAATAAGAAAAAGCTAAGCAGTTAACTATTCAAAAGTTAGGCAAAGTCATATTTAAGACTCTTTGCATCATTAAATACATGGAGATGTATTAATTCTTGTGTTTTCCTATGATAAAGTGTTAAGAAAGCAAATGATATGCTACAATTTAATCGTTAATTATTAACTATTAAAAATTTACATGTTTTAGTTGTAATTGCTTTCTTAGTCACCACATATCTCTTGTTAAATATATTTGAAAAATATTTTCAGATATGTTATTGAGATTTCTTTTTGTCATGTCCTTTTGGGCAGAAGACATCTGCCAAGCTCTGAGGTAAGAATTTTTGAGTTCTTGTCATAGCTTTTTTTGTTTATTTTCTGGGAGATACTCCCGTTTCCCACTCAGTCTTTAGAAGAGGACAACAGTTTTTCCAAATTCTCCTTCACACTTTAAAAAAAAATCAATTAACATTTGAAATTATAAACTGTGTAGGAGAGAAAAGTATTATTTGGAAGTCTTTTAAATATTATTGCTCACCAGAGGTAATTAGCAAATGATGCATCCAGACTTGTACTAAACTGTTTTCTTCCAGTATTTTATTGCTTACAGAGAGATTTGTATAGTACAAGAATATACTCTTAAAGTTAGAACAGCCTAACCTCCTTATAAACACTACTCCATTTGACATATTCTAGCCAGTTTCAAATAGGCTATGACCTTTTTTTTTTTTTTTTTTCCTAAAGAATTAAGTAAAATATCCTAAGCTGAAGGTAGGAATGATCCCTACTGGTAAACAGTAATTTATAATTGCCTTTCAATTACCATTTCCTGCAAAGCCATGCTTTAAATCACTGATAATCTTACTTCTATATACTTTGGAATAATTGGAATTGAAATTCTTATGTGCAGAAAGTGATGATAAGACCCTACCTTCTGATTTCTCAAACACTTCTTCTTTCGGACAACTCCTGACCATTTTTAGTGTATTACAGGCTTAGTAATACTGTATTGCCACATTATTCTTTGCAGATTTATATTTATCCAAGGGTCTTCCAAGAGGCAGCATTTGGCAATATTTACATTATTTAGTGGTCACATCTGTTCAAGGAGGCATTTCAGCTACCACGCTTACTTTGTGGCAAGAGTAAGCATGACATTCAAACCATTGCACAAAAATCAGATTTAGCATAACAGAAACACATTTAATAAGTAAATAAAGTGCACAGAGTTATATATGCAGAGAGTTTACATGTTTTGTTGTTGATTTTTTTTTTTTTCTGCTTTCATTTTTTGAAGTTGTTCAATCAGAGAAAGTTTAAAATAAGTCTTTAAGACTTTAAAGGTTTGGCAGTGTTAAGTCCTGAAAATTTAGTCTAATGAGAAGCCAGCTGTGGTCAGCCCTCACCAAAATTGCTTTTCCCTGAACTACTCATTTAAAATGCCAGCTGGCCAGCAACCAGCATATACGTAATGCATTGTGTATTGACATTGTGTAGCTGATATGGAGCTCAACATGATTTTCAAGGCAAAGCTGGGAAACTTCCAAAATTAAATCCTAACACTGCTGAAAAGATCAGACCACAGAAATGGAAATAGCTCCACAGCATAATATAACTTTTACTTGGTTGTGTAAATATTAAAAGATGTTTAAAATTATTCCCAGAGACAAGTTTCTTTCATTTAAGCCCTACATTAGGTCTCTGAGCTAAAAAATCTCACTGCTTATTCTCTTTACACCTGGCCTGAGAGGGAAATACTTGTAATAAAATAAATATATGTTTCAGTGTCTGCAAAGGAAGTCTACCACTGTTGTGAAAAAGGATGCTGGGGGATCTGAGGCAGAAGTATGGTAACCCTCAATCCTAATTCCACAGCTAGTATCTCCAAACAAACATCACATGATGTATGCTGGTAGATGCACCCACTACACCATCCTTCAGGGCCATTGAGAAGTAACTGAAATGAAGACCTGAGGAACACCCACAACTGAATTTCTAGGTCTTTGTGTGTGCAAGACTATGCTCATGTCCTTGGTAAGACTATTTCCTTGGTAAGGCCCACAGGCTGGATGAGAGCTTCCATGCCTTTTGACTGGGCTGAGTCAAGAGATGAGATTGTATCACAGTACACAGCTACCACAAAGGGTAGGTACCACTCAGCTTTGCCTCCAGGGGCTACAATGCAAAATAAACATGGCCACTGTGGTTCAGTGTCCTATTCTGCTCTCTCACCTGTGTGATATACTTCTGAGTGAATAGTCTGTCATCTCCAGTAAATATAGACTATATTGAGAATACCTGGTTTGAAGAAGAAATGGTTCCAACATGAAGTACTAAACATATATGTTTATAAGTGTAATTATTATTGGAAGTGTTTACAAAGGGCAGTCTTTCACACCAAAACTATCTTCATGTTATGGAGCACAAAAGACTTTCTCCAGGCTCTGTTATTTGTTTTCCCTAAAGGTTTAACAAGTTTACATGAATCTCTCTTTGCCTGGAATGGTAGTTGTTTTTTTTCCCAGAATAATGAAGCCGTTTCACAATCACTGGCAGACACAAGGCCAATAAGATAACATTTCCTGCATACTTTACATTCCAGCCTCTTGGATAGCAGCTTTTAGATATGGTTTCTTAAATGCAGTTGGAGGTTTGAATTAAAATGCCTCTTGAATGTGGCTCCAAGTCTCAGTCAGTCCATTTCTTGAAACAATGAGTTATACTGATGTGTTGACAGAGTGTGGCTATACAATCCATTAACAAAAGTCAACACCTGTTCAATAGAAAGCAAGAAACTTGTAAACAGCTGCGGCAGTGAAAAATAAATAAATAAATAAGAGCCCCAAACTTAAAAGGTAAGGCTCTTTATATTCCAACAACAAATAAGAATAACAAATGGGCATTTCTTTTCACTTGTTCTTGCCCAGTCTAGCACAAGCCTTCTTCTTATGTTGTCATTCAGACATTAATCTGGTGATCTATTTTTTCAAATAAAAAAATGATTTTCTATATTTAGAGGAAATATTGCCTTGTCATCCATTGAACAAACAAAGCATACTGGTGGTTTTGGTTTTTGGTTTTAGTGCAGCTGAGTAGCACTTGGTGAAGTATAATATATTTCCCAGTAGGCATAAGGTTCTACATCTCAAAGAGCCTGTATGCTGGTAATAGGACCAGAGAAATATTTTTTTTTTCCTCCAGAGTCACTAGAGCAAAATACTGGTCATTCCATTTGTACACTGATAGTGACCATATCAAAGTAACCCCTTTCAAGACAAAGCATTATTAACATGACTTGTGGTCTTAGTGTGTAGTTTGTGCCTTTATTTCATTAAAACTTCTGGATTCGTACAATGTGTGAGAATTTTATATGCATGCAAATCTGTATCCCTTCAGATCTGATATTACTTTTTTTTTTTTTTTCAATGCAGAGTATTGTGTGAGGCTTTATCTTGTTACCCCTTCATCACTGTTATGTCAAAGTACTTACCTTGTGCCTTTGATGGGGCTGAAATCTGTCGTGTGGGACCCATTTCTTCTTCAGGGGAGATGTTATGTTTTAGTATGGTGATTTGGCTTAGTTATATAGTTAGCCTGTTGCTATGGTTTTTCTGCTCCTACTTTTTAATAATGATATGTGTTTATCTTAGAGAGAGCAAAGTCAAAAAGAGCATGCTTTGCTGTGGTCAGTTGCAAGTTCCCGAGGAAGTTCATTCCATCATCTGTGCACCATCCCAAGAGAGCTGTCCCTACATAAGAAGAGGTGTAACCCTCTAGTACAAAATTCCTTTCTGCTTAAGCAGTGATGTTAACTGCAGTTCTCACCCCACAGTTTTAGCTGAGCTTTTGCATTTGCTGAACTTGACCCAGTAAGTGCCTTGAAGGTTTCGCCATTTCATAGATAGTCTGTGGGAAGTCAATGGCAAGAGCTGATGCAAGCCTGGTGCAATCCATCTACCCTGTGTTGCTCTCCACTAAGAGCAGCCCTCTGCAATTTATCACTACTGGATGTCATTTCAACAAGTAGGGGAATTCCAGCAAAACACAATGAAAGAATTTTACAAAACTGCTAAAAAGTAGGTTCATTCATTTTTTTTCTTAAGGCTCGAAATTGCATGAATTGTGTAATGATCTGATTAATGAACCAGGACAGGGATCTTACATGGCACTTCTGTGCAGAAACATTAAGACTAGAAGCTGACGGAATGGAAGCTGAGTCAATGCGGTACCATGTTGGGCTAAATATGACCACAGGAAGAACTGAGTGCCTTGGATGTCTGACTGCCTCCAAGCTGCAGACCAGTATGGTGGAGAAGAGAAAGACTGCAACAATGACAAGTCCATGAGAATTAAGAGGTCTTACTTTAAAGGTCATTGTCTTCCACTAGAAGGCAGTTGACTCCAAGGTTTTTGAGATGAGACATAGACATCTGGGCAAAGGGAAGACTATTTGCCACTACATGACCAAGAATAAAAGAGTAAAGGAGTCAGAGTGCACAAGAAAATATGACTTTGCTTCTGTAACCTGATCAGGAGGCCACTTTCCACTGAAAGCCAAAGTCCTGAAGTTAGGTTACTCCCTACTTAGCTTCAGAGTTGGATGCTTCTGAGCATGGGTAGAAGCCCAAGCTAAGGAAGATCCTTGGCTAGAAATTGAGGCAGTGGTTGAATTAGATGCTTCTGGGAGTTGTTATTTTACATATGTTGTCTAAGTCTTTCAGGAGAGGTAGTGAACTGAACTGAGCGCCTACTGTGAAAAATGGAAAGTTCTGCTCTCATTTTAATGATCCTGCCACTTCCCTTGCCTTGACCCTAGCCAGACCAACTGTGAGTGGAGAGGAAGCTCACTAGCTCTCTCTTTCCACCCAGGGTAATCCACATAGTCAAGTTTATGCTGGGATAATGAACTAGCTTGGTTTACAGAAGCCAACAAGTCCCAAAACTGGTACAAAGAGTAACCATGTAAGGGCCATGTAGCTGAGAGTGTGGGACAAGAACAGAGAGAGGATCTGGAGGGTGGGTACATTTACCTGCTTCAGAGCCATTAGATACACTGCACTGCTAAGGAAACCAAAACCCAAGACACAGACTGTTACCTGGATTTTTAAGTAAGCACAAAGCAGCACTGCAGTCGAAGTAGCTATGTGTTTTCCCTTGCCTTCTATTCTGGCCTCTCCGATGCCACTCCCTTCTACATTGATATGCTGGTAGTGTTCATGTACCTCAGCTGAAAACTGACTGGACAGCAAAAGGTTATTTTTTTAGTGGGTTATCACAGATAGATAGTAACTAAGGAACAGTAATCACATACACAAAAGATGTACTCCCACTAGGGAAAGAGTCAGCCACATAAGCAGAGCCCCAGCACAGTGCTTCAGAAGTGAATGGCGAACACCATATATTCAGAGGCAAACAAGCTCTCACCAGTATGAAGCCAATTCATCCTGATGAAGCTTTGTCTGTCCACTGAATACCAGACCAGAGAAGGATTAAAGATGCTCTGTGCGTACCAAGACACTGTAGTTTTCCCTCCAAATAGAAAGCAAGGAGGGGAGAACTGTTGCTTGCTTTAATATACTTGCTGCATTTATTTCCTTTGGGCTGCTTCCAAATGGGGAGTAATATGGCTACTGCACTTTGACTTTTCCCATATCTTCTTTTCACGAGTTTGTGCACAATATTTTCTCTCAGACTCTAAGAGTACTTATGTCTCTTATAAGGTCTCTGTCCTCCATTCTTTGATGTCTGTAAGGGCACACAAAACACATTTCAGCTCTTTTATTTATTTATTTATCTTGTGGTGGCATCTTTGTTTTGGTTTTCTTTCTTTCTTTTTTTTTTTTTTTATTTTTTATATATAATTTGCTTTGCTTTCTTCCATTCAATCTGCATAAATGAGTGGGCTCTGGTGCCTCTGGGAACAGAGACCTGCTATACTGGTACAACAGGTGTAGCACAGCAGGCTCCCTCTGGCACAGGCACATTTTCTGTAAGGTTGCTGGCACCACTGGTGACTCTGGCAAGCATTCCTATTACACATTCCAGGTCTTGCTGCCAATTTACGGCTGTCCTGTGTGCAGCATCACTGTTGCCCCTAGTTGCTGAGCACAAGAGTGGATACAATATAGCCTGGGGCGTGTTTTGGAGTTGGGAATTCCTTGGCTACTGTGGTCTTAGCTATTTACTGTCTGCTACACACCCCAAGACAGCAACTGGTATTTAAAACATAGAAAACCCCCCAGAATTCTGAATCTAAACCCCTAGAAGTCTCAACAAAGGTTTACTGGGTTAAGATTATTATTTATTTATTTAATTAATTTTATCCTTCAGGGCCTTTGAAAGGGTCTTTAAAACGGAGGGTTTCCATTTCAGTTCTTACATGAATGTTAATGAAGTTTCATAAAAATACTCCTGAGACACAGCTGCTGATCTTTGTAGACTCTGAGTGTCAGGGCACAGAATCACACTGAAAAAGCTTGGAAACTTTCAACACTTCCAAATCTGAGCTGAGCCTCTTGCTCTGGACTATATAACAACCCGAACACTGAGCCTTTACCAAAAGATATACTCACTATTTTAGTCTATATCTAAACACATCCTAGATTACCTCCCTGTAAGTTATATTAAATCTTTCATTTCTGGTTAGTACCAGAACTTAACTACAATACAAAGAATAGCATATAGAATTGTCTATTGTCCTTCCTTAAAATTGTCCTGCTCTTAAAATTTCACATTATCAAATGAATCCTTGTGTACATTATATCTCTTTGTTTCTATTTGCAAATAGTCTGAAAAGAGCCTGCAATTTGTCTATCTGTTTGAAAATTATATTCCAATTCTACCTAAGAGAATCCATGTTTGCACTCAGTTGCAACCATTCGTCCCAATTTGGAGTTGATTTGTCTAGGCAGGGAGATCACATTACACTTTTCTTCTCCCCATTGCATAAGCATAACATCTGGAATCAGGTTTCTCATGTGCATATTATCAGTTCCAAACATAAAATCTGCCTTCTGTGAGTATTAAGCAGCATTTGCTTGCAGCTTGGTCCTTTGACAAGCATTCCTGCCAGTGACCTCATTTGCTAGAATTCTGGGGAAAGGTAATACATATGGGATGATGAACTTACAGCTGCAGAACAAGCCACCAACACTTGTGGGAGCTTTTATTTTGAGCTATTTATCTAAATACAATTCTCAGGGATCAGAAAATCGCTGTCTGGAAAGTTGTACTATTACCTCATTTAGAAGTGCTGAGAATTCATGGAAGCTTGACTTCTGTATAATTGAAATTATCTTGTCACGAAGGAGCCTTTACAGTTCATTAAAAGTAGTCTAACACAGGTTTCTTTCAAATATTTTAGCCTTTTTGTCTTCAAGAGGTCTTTAATGAAAAAGTGGAGAAATGAGAAAGAAGATCTTTTCCTCAAGGGTGCATGCTGTAAATAAGAACTTACATTGCTTGCACAGGGAAATGAACTTTATATGTAGTTAGTGTCACAAAACTGGAGATTCTGGAACACTCAATGTTGCCTTTTTCATTAATTATATTTAACTCATCCAGTGTAGCTTTTGGTTTTGCTATATTAGTTTTTTTATGATGTCAAGTAGTGATAACCAGTTGAGTAAAATGTGACCAGCAAGGGAGCAAAGCCTCATTTATTTATTTGCAATGCAGCACAGAACAGTGATTAGAAGAGAGGCAAAAAGTAATCCAATATATTCAGCCTAGTGGTGTGAGCAGCATATTGAGGAGGCCAGCATGCCGGAGTTCCTCTACCTTTTGATCTTCCAATTATTGCAATGTGGTCTTGCACCTTGCAGCTTGCTATCAGGGTAAACACAATTTGCAGTTCAGCTAGAGGGGTCGGAAAACGGTACAGCCTGTGAATCCATTTGCTTGTACAAGGATGCCAAAGTGCATGAAATTGGTGTTTTCAAGATTCTGGCTGCTGTTTTGCACTAAATCACAAAGAAAATTGCAAGTGGAAAGGTACAGCTCTCATCCTCCTTACCTCATGGAGCTCCTTTCATCACCAGCTTCCCCAGCCCAACGCCCTGCGTATTTGGTGCCTCTTCCTGGGCAGTAGCTATGGGAACAACTGTAGGAGCTCTGCTCTGTGTATGTTTGTTCAGCTGGCTTCTCCCTCAGAGAAGTAGAGAGGAGGAGAGGTGCCTTCACGTGCCAACCTCTCTGCACCTCTGATCGTGCCTCTGCACATTGACATTTCCTTCTCCTGGGACTTGCTTAAATTTATCGCAGCTTACGCTGTGATGTTTTAAAAAGCTAGACCTTTAATGCTGCATGAATTCAATACAGATACTTGGGAGACTGAAATTATGCTGGGACAATATTGCAGGGCCTTTAGAAACTGCAGTGTCTCACCTGCAGCTGTGACACCATGCTCAGTCCTGGGGCAGAAAGGACTGTACAGAAGAAGAAGAAGAGGAGGACAGGTTTAGAGGTAGAACACAGGAACATTTGCAGTATGGAAGAAACTCCTCTGAAGAGACACTAGAAAGGCTGAGGCTTTATCACAGAGAAAAAGTCAGAATTAGTACCATGATGAAAGCACAGAAAGCAGTGAAAGGGTTAGGTATGTTACTCTTGTTTTCATGGATGAGATGGTAAGATCTGAATGATTAATAAAGAATGTGTATTTACTTCTGATTAATAAACACTAAATATATGTTATGCATATTATGAACCGTATAGTACAAGTAAGTGCCTCCAAAATGCCTGGAGAAAGTAGTAATTTTGTGCTTCTGCTATAAACAGTGCCATTACAGAAGGAAGAAGCAATTTTTGTAGAGCACTTAATAATAGTCAGACTCCCAGCCTGAGACACAATCAGTTGCTGAAGTGTTAGGAAGTGCTAAGCCCTTACTTCCTGA